TTGTTGTTCAGATGCAAATGAGTCATTAATAATATATAGAGCATCTCAACATGAATACAATAACATTTCTCAGCCTCATGCGAATCACTGGACAGTCAGTAATCAAGTTACAGGCAAGCAATGTGACCTAGAATTACGTCTACTTATTAAAGTACATTTAAAGCATGTCTTTGGTGGAAAATTACGTAATAAAAGAACTCTTATCCACAGTATTAATCAGTTTTATGTGGGTCACTAGAAATATCCATAGTTAGCAATACTTACACACCAAAAGTACATAGGTTATCACAGATACCGTAACAGTGTCGTATATTGTACGTATGCCATTAAAGCGGGGACTATTTATCTATGACAAGTGACTGTTCTACTTTTGTTGTAATCCTTCGTATTTTGATATAGTATTTTAAAATTAGTTTTATATGTATGTGTGTGCACATCCGCGCGCCAATGAAAGTTCGTGGTTACAGGAACAATGTTAGCAATAATATGTTTCAGATTTATTAAGTCACATAAAACTTTTCTATTTATTTGTTGAATTTCGCAAAAAAGATACTCGAATTTTGAGGTGATAAACAACAACACCTACCGCTAACTCTTGGGTTACTCTTTTACAAATGAATAGTTGGATTGACCGTCTCATTACAATGCCTTAACGTCTAAAAGATTGAGAACTTTCAGTAACGGGATTCGATTCCACAAACCAACAGAGTGATGAACTGTCGTAACCATTAAGTCATGCTAGACTTACACAAAATATCGCATTGAAGAAGGATTGTTTATTTCAGAATTTTCGCCCCCCCCCCAATTGACTCAGCAGTAAGTCTCACATCTTACAATGCTAAAAGTTGGGTTTCGATACCCACGGAGGGCAGTGGCGAAGTAAGGGTTCTCAGCACCCGGGGGCAAAGACACTTTTGGCACCCCCACCTCTGAAATGTTTTGATCATTTGTTTTGTGACTCATTACTCACTTAATGACAATAACATAAAGAATTAATTACCGCCTTACACAGGCCTAAAATAAAGTCACAGTATAACATCTCACGATATCACAACTGTAAACCTGGAATTAATGAAGTATAGCCTACTAGATGTACTTATATAATTTGTAAACCATTTTGATATTTATGTCATCCAGTATTGTTCAAAGTCACATAGCTAGAGTAATCTTTCAAGCATGCAGAATAGATTTCTGTTATACCCCTAGTTTTGAAACTTATGTTTTATATGAGAAGCCAGTCACTTGTGGTGTACATGGATTATAAAACAGATTGATAAAATACTACTTAAGTTTACAAATAAAAAATTTTACCAGTTTACAAAACTGTACATATACTTAACTAGATCTTGTACAAGTAGCATTCTGGTATTCATGGTTACATTATATGAACCTTTCGTGCTTTTGCTGCTGCAAATGCATCAATTAAACTGTCAAAATTTAAGATATTAAGTACGTTTTTTCAATACTTAATACTACCAAGTTACTAAGTCGTTCTTGATTCATTGAGGTTCTCAAGCAAGAATTAATTTCAGCATGCTGAA